GGTTGCAGAGGAAGAGAAGTAGTGGGCACGTACCGCAAATCCGCAATGTTTGGATCCCCGAGCCTTTGAGGAGAAATGCGGATGGTTCTACCGAAAGAATCCAACACCGTGTGCTCTCGAGAGGGGTCGTCCCATAAGACGTCGTCGCTAATGCCAGGAAAATAGCTGAGGCTTCCTCTGAGGCTAAGGGGGCCCTCGCTGGTAGCCCGACGAGGCAACTCCACCGACTGGACAGTCATGTTGCCTTCGTCGAGAATTGACGACTGCGGGGGCTGCAAGTCATCCGAGGAACCCTCGTCCAGGGGCAAAGACAAGCGAGGCCTGTCAATGGGCAGCTCGTCGTCGTCGTCGTCGTCGTCGTCGTCGTCGCCACGTCGAGACCTGCCGCTCCCACTACCACGGGCCTCTCCATTATTGTTGCCGCCGTCGTTGCCATCAGGCGAGGTCTTATCCGGAGACGACGATGAGTCAATCACGTTGCTGGTCGGCGCTAGGGCGCGGCCAAGGTTGCGTAGAATAAGCATGGGCGTTTCCCTCTGCTCCCGGAAGCTCTGGCGGCGGCTGCGTCCAGGCGTGAACATGGCCAGGCGGCGCTGGTCGAGGGCCCTACGGGCGGCTATGGCATGGGGTGTCGGGACATTCTCGAACGCCGGCGTGTTCATGACCGAGCGAGGATAATGAGGGTTCTGCATCCAACGGTTCGAGGGCGTGTAGTAGGAGAGCCGAGTGGCGGAGGGCTCAACACTCCTTGTGCGGCGCCGGGGGGGCGTGTGAACGGGCTCCTCATCCTCATCCTCGGCGGTGGTTCTTCTGCCCATGTCCAGAATCTCGAGGTCCATGGTGGCAATGCTCGATGGGGGAGATGGGGTCTCGGGAGGGGGGTAGAGGTCAGGTTCTGAGTCTGTGGGGGAGATGCTGCGTTCACGTTCGCCGGGGGGTCTGGCTCTGTCTTGTATGTTGAGGAATTGTCGACGCCAGTATTGGTAACGAGGGCCTTCGGGATGAAAGTCGAAGTAGAAGTCTGTGGGATAAAAGTCGACATCCAGGGACATGTGAAGAGATTGAGAAGGAAGCCGATCTGATTGTGTGAGGGGGGTGTTGAGTAACTCTTGTCACTACAACAACAAAGACAACACCGGATGATGCTGTCGTCGTCGATGTTGTTGCTGTTGTCGTAAAACAGAGAGAGAGAGAGAGTACAAGATGACCAGACCAGACCAGACCAGACCAGACCGGGTCACGGCGCGTGGCTGTTGGTTCCCTTGGCGTCGAAAGGCCCTGATGGGTACGTTGCTAGAGTCCTTATATGTGTAGATGGATCCCCGTGTCGAGAGTGACCGCAGGAATATACCTACCTAACGATATGCAGGCTGCAGCAACCGATGAGCTGGACAGAAGAG